TTCTTCACACATGCACTGCAGCCCTGTGCTGGGTTTACTGCTACTGTGAGACTGTACAGTAGCTGCTTTTTCAGCTGCCAGCCTGCTACTGCAGTAGTCCTGAGCGCTGCCTCCTGCACTCGCCATCCAGGCAGCTCCCTCACCTTAACCACAGTTGATTAGAACTGGATCATTTTCTGCTTTGTGCTGTGGGCAAAATCACAGGCTTGTTCTCCTGAAATTGTTCTATCCTTTCAAGACCCTGAAAGGTTTAAAGGGGATGTTGAAAAAGTAGGTCACGGGGCAGAAATAGGTGCAAAAACATTTATTAGCAAGCTGTGGCAAGCATTCAATCCACTATACTTATGGCTGTGAGCATCACCTGCATGGACGCTGACGCTCACACAGGTAAGAAAGGGACGCAAAGAACCAGAATACAAACAGGTAACAAAGCTGAAGGTGATCCTGTTTCCTGTTAACATACAGTTTAAATGTGGTGATGTGTAAATATTACAAATGTACACAATACGTTCATATATATATACAAGAATCTAAGCGACTGCAGAAAACCTATTTTACTCATTGATTCTCTCGCCCCGGTCGCTCCACGCCCAGGACATTTTCACACATACCTGTTTTCACACCAGTTGATTTGACCAGCTGATTCCCAGCAGACACTGATGAAGCACAGACGAGAAAGAAGAAATCAATCAATATCAAACTGAGTCTGATGTGATTATGAAGTCCAAACAGCTTAGCATTAGCTTCAAGACTTTCTTCCAAACCATCATCTTTAATAACGGTGTTATAAAGCAGTTTCTCAGAGACTTTGTAAAACTGTGCAGCAAATATGAGAAAACACTGGGATTCAGATATTCCTGAGTCTGGGATTAAAAACAGAATCATGGGATAGCTTTGCTACGCTCACAAATGATGTCCCAGTCTTCAGTTCCTGTGTAAATGTATGACCAAAACTATTTACAAAGGGCAGCCCTGGTGGATTGCAGCACCCAGTGGGCTGGTCTGGATATCATGACCATTTCTACGGTTTACAGAGAATGTCAGAAATGAGAAACTATGCAGTGAGCTGCAGTTGTCTGTGACAAAATGCCATAATGGTGTTAGAGAACAGGCCAATGGAGACTCAAATAACTAAATATAGCCAAAGTATGCAGAAGAGCATCTCTGAGAGCACAACACATCAAACCTTGAAGCTGGTGGGCAGCAGCAAAAGACCACACTGGGTGCCATTCCTGTCAGCTAAGCAATTGTAATTATGGGGATAATGTATTTGCACACTCTGGAATCAATAGTAGCAACCGAGCATCATTAAAAACCACAGCCTGAGTACCATTTCTGTCCAGCCCTTTGCGACCACAGTGGACCAACCTTCTGTGGTTGATCTTCAGTGTTATGAAGATCAGATCTGTAGCAAATATATGAGGTTTTTATATCAATATGGAGCAAAATCTAGAAGGAATATTTCCAGCACTTAGTTGAATTACAATAGAATGAGTACTAGCAAGTGTTTGTCCTGCCTCTCTCCCATCAACCCACCTGTCCCTGAGCCTGGATTTAAGGGGGAAAGTTGTCTGATTGTTGGAGCTTTCTCTGTATCATTGTAGTCTTTACTACGTGCACTGAGGCGACTGCTTTTGTGATTTACCACTATATTTCTAAAATGTCATTGAATTGAAAATCACATCCAGTATGTATCTTCCAGGTTTGATCCCGAGGCCAGCTGGTGTATCATGTTTCTTTGACCATTGATTGTTTAAGGTCAGGCTTCTCTGCTTAAATAATATATCACAGCACAGAAGATGAAGCAGTGTGAGAGATAAGAGAGTCTGTGCTGCTCTGAATAAGCTTCTCAGGTATTATCCTGGATACTTCAACACCATCACAGACATTGATTTATTTTCTCAGTCAAATGCGATCTCTTAAACAAAAATAAATTCGCATCTGTGGCATCTCCATGTGAAGCAGCTTTTTGAAGTGGCACACGGGTCAAGTCCAGCCTGAGGCAGACAGCAGATTAGAGCTGCCAAGATTAGTCGACTAGTCACGATTACGTCGACTATCAAAATCGTCGACGACTGATTTAATAGTCGACGCGCCGTTTGAAGCTTTGAGATCCCAAAAGACGCAGGAATAAGTAGCAGGATTTAAGAGTGTAATAACGGACTGAAACAGAAGATGGCAGCACTGCATATACCAGGATGCCAGCTGCCGTTAAACCCCGAAGAAGAAGAAGCTGTGTCCCAGAATTCATAGCGCAGCCCAGCTCAGTTTCCAACAATGGCGGCAGCTAGTTAGTTTTAATATTACTCTTATTATTCGTTCTGGGTCACAAAATAAACGTTTAACATATTTCAGGCGAGAATGTAGCTGTGTAAACCTCAAATATCTGCTCAGTTTATCAGGACACCGCATATTTTCAAAAGCGCTCCGATGTTTTCGGAGACGTCTGTTACCCACTAGCTCGTTAGCTAGGCGGGGGCTAGGCTAACTAGAGCCGTGAGAACACCGGACTCCCGGCAAATCATTTTCAAACCCACCGCCGTCTTTCAGTACTCAGGTTAAACATGATATATGAGTCACTTAGAGAACTTAAAAATGTTATTGTTTGGCTTTTTTAGTATTTTATTTGTTCCTGAGTAAATCGGTTTGGCTGAGATTGAAGTTAGAGTTTTTAAACAGCTGAATAAACGTCAAGCAGACAGCTGATTATCAGAAGTGTGAGATGCTCCAGAATTTACTCCGGTGTCCTGTTATATTTTAGATAGCAAGGAGTTTATTAAACTTCACCGAAACAATCTGCAAAT